AAATCTCCTTAAGTTGATGTTCCTGGTAATCACCTGTTGGGATTCCATCCGAGACCTCTGCCAAGTAATTTTCATGTAACTGTTCTGTCCTTAAAATGGAGCCAACCCATTCCAGAGAGCCAGTACTCAGACAAACAATGTGTGTGCTACGGGGTCTTGTTTGAAAAATGGGAGCCCTGACATTGTAGTGACTTTGGGGGAAGAGACAGGGGTCTTGGAAGATTAATATAGACGGAGAAATGTGAGCAACTCCACTGTTACAAGCCATGTATTGAAAGGGCTTAAATATCCATTTTGCTTTATTTTATGTAACAAAGGTGAACTATGTATCTGAGACTAGCGTATATCTGTGACTCTGGATCTCCTTCGGACAGTCAAGTGAGGGATTCCCAGGCACTTGCTTCTGGGTATAGATGATGGAGTATTGCTTTTTTTTTTTGTTAGAAAAGTAATATTCTCAATTATTTTAAAATGCTGACTCTCTGCATCCCAACAAAGCCATTTGCATAAGATTAGAATATAATGTAGGTTGGTGCCACTATTCCCTGAAGAATTTCTGTTCCTTGCATTTTTCTTAGGAAATTCAATATGGGACATTATGGGAGTTTCTGAATTCCCTGTGGGTTCTTTGCTGCTACCATTCTGCCTTGCAACTACAATGAACTACTGTGAAAACAATACAACTTTAGGGCCCAATCCTACAAATACTTACTACGCATCCTAGTGCTTGCTAGTGTGCATAGTCCCATTGACTTTAGAGATCATGGTTAATCTGCTTGGTGCTTTATCTGATATAAAGGCACATAAAAGAGTTGTTAGGAGATGGGTGTTGCAGCTCTTTAAGTACCAGCCTAGCTCTTTTCTTAACTGTGCTTCATAAATGTGGCTCTAAATCTTTACATTTACCTTATCTGCTGTCTTTTTTCCCCTCTAGATTTAATATGTCTTGCCACAAATCATAAGGAGATAACCAAAGGTAGGGTCGGGTGACCAGGAAAATGAAGCCACATCTACCAATGTTATCAGTTATGGAGGATACTGTGAATTTATTAAACAATTTACCAATTAATGTTTTATGGGGGTCATATTAAAAATTAGTAGATCATCCCCCAGAGATTAAACCAGACACCAGTCTGTAACCATACCCCACCATACATGGAATATGCTGAAATTTCAGGTTCTGTTCTTTAAATAGTTGAATAGCTTTCGTCAATATTTTTATGACTGTATTTTTGGGGCGTGGACTGAGTAGCAGAAAACTTACTGGCCCACTAATGATTCACCTAAGGGCTTCCTCCTTAGATTTATGGTGACTGAAATCATTTTAGGAGTTAGCAAAAGGTCAGGCCTCATCAAATACTCCAATTAGCAAGATCTTGTAGCAAACAGGGCTTGCGAGGAAGTGGCTCTGATCTGTAGCTGGGTTTTGGATAAGAAGGGCCTTTTCAGCTAAATAAAATAATAGAGCCCATATCAGATATTTACAGAAAGAAAGAACTCTGAACTGAAATGACTGGGATGACCAAGGAAGAAATGGGAGTTTACAGAATTTCCCTTTTTTCCTAATTGCTAGTCGCTAATTCCTCAAAGTGACTTTACGGTGCTTGAAAATAACTTATTCCAAATGCAAAAAATGAATTAGTGGGGATTACTTAATTCCTGGGTGGGTATAGCGCAGAGCGCAGTGATCTAGGAGTCTGAACTCCACCATGTGTCGTGACTACTATACTTTTGGCAGAAAAAGGCTGCACAGGGCCCCGTCAGCACAACTCCTAAATTGACTAGAGATGCTGCTGTTGAGCTAGATTTTCTGAGGGGGAAAGATGCTACTTCTGCAGTCCTTTCAAATATTGCAAGCCCAGGAAGCAGGAGACTCCCACAGAAGGCAGAATGTCCAATTACTAGGAAATCAAAGGCTTTGTGTGCATAAAATTAGCACTAGTGAAAGGTGCTGGGTTAATAGCTCTGGAGAAGAAAGTTCTCTATTTATCCTCAGAACAGCATGAGCAGTTACAGCAGAAACTTCCTCCCTACTGCCTTGTCAATATGGTTCAACTGTTGCTTAGAAGGATAATCTCTAGTAATCAGAGGGCAGTTCAATCTACAAGGCCTACTTAAGTCCTTGTCCTCTGTACTGAAACTGCTACCAACATTGCAATGAAGTTCTAACTGCGATGGTGACAATTGTCTTCTCTGAACCAGACTTACACCACCAGACTCATTTAACAGAGGCCACTGGAAGGTCTGGCATTTAGGCTCTACTGATCGTGGCTGGATTTGAACCAGTGACTTAATGGCAAAAGGCTCTATATTCCATTTCTCTTCCGGGATGAACCACAGCCAAAACTGAACTTTCTTACATCCCTCTAAAGACTGCCCCCTTTTCTCCCTCCTTCATCTCTTTTAGAATCTGCTCCATCCTTGACATGCCATAGACTTGCAGTCTTCTAGAATGGGAACTCTTCCTGGCAAAGGCCCAATCCTTTCGCTCTGATGACTGATTTCACATCAGACTTTGGGGTTCTCCTCCTGCTATGACTTGCCTCCTTTCATACCTTATGTGGTCATGAGCGCTGAGCTGCATCCTAGACCTACAATATAGCACAAGGCAGCATTCCCTCCCTATCTCCCTTCCCTACAGACATGGCAAGATGGCAAGGTCACAATGAAAAATGACAGCTAAAGAAACCCTGGCATCTTGTCTGCATCCTCCCTCTTCAATTTATGAACAGGGTAGTCAACATTAGGAAAGAGATTGCTAAAATCCTTATTAAACTGTGATATTATCCATTCTCAATTAATCGATTTAACCTGGAACACAGCAACTGTCACTGTGAAAACTGGAAGGGAAAATAGCCTGTCACCATGAAAACTGGAAGGGAAAATAGCCTCTCCTCTTACACATTTGGGTGCCAAGTAAAGTCCATGCACCTGGCTCCATGAGTCTTCCAGTCTATTAATATCTTGGAAACCAATCCTATATCCCTTGTGCTGTTTATTCATTTTCTCTTGGGATTGATGCATTTTGCACATGCTGCCTTGAAGTGATTTGCCCTAGAAGGCATAGTTTTACGGAGACTGCCTCTAGCGAAACTGATCCAGACTTGATTAGGTCCTTTTCTGTGGACTGGAGCACTCATTTGCTTCCAGTGTTTACAGGGGACCAGGACATTTATTTTATGATCCTGAAATACCACTAGTATCTTGGATATGGACGCTCTGTCCTTTCCTCTCCCTGTTATTAACAAGAGCTGGAGGATTATCTACTGTTGACAACTTCTATTTAAAAAAATAGTAATATTGTATTAGTGTGTGGTTTTGGAGTGGACAGTGTGCTCTGATACCATACATAAAAAACAGTCCCTGCCCCAAAGAGCTTACCTACTGACACTGAGTAAATATAGACAATTTTGTATTTGCATCTCCTAGTGATCAACAGCAAATACAAATAGCGATGGATTAGGTAGACACAGAGAGATACTAGGATCCAGGGATGGATCGAGATAGGATAGTCTAGAATCAATAATTAAACAAAGAGGCAGTTGTGGGAGAAGTATGGCACTCCCTCCTCTGCTGAGATAGGAGTTCCCCAGCTTCTCCCTGCTTTGCTAAACAGTGCTCCCCCACAGCTCCCTTTCCTCCATGGTATGTGCAGCGAGAGCTCCCCCTCCTGTCTCAATCTACTTTAGCTACTGGCTAGGATCTAGGGATGGAGATGGATAGATTAGGTTTAGGGCCTAGGGATGGAGAAAGATCAAATAACAACAATCCTGGCACTGGTCTGTGAGTCAGGTAACAGCTCTTTAATCTGGTTGTTCCTCTATAACAATGTTTAATGAGACCTCTCCAAGCACAGTGGCAGTTTCTTGATTTAGATAATGAAGGGAGAGAAGCCATTTGCACTGTGACCTTGCCTTGGGTTTGATGAGCTTCAGGTGGTCTGAGAGGATGGGAGTTTTGGCAGTTCTTGCAGTGTGACAGGCAAAGAGATGGGATGTCAGCCAGCCCTAAGGGGTCAGGGTAGCTCACATTCTCCTAGTGACCTAGGCACTCCCTTCAGTTGTGGGCTAACGTTAAGGGAGGAGAGGTGACAGGTTGGATGAGTTCCAGTGAGTGGGAGGGTGGTACCTGGGGGTCGGGGCTCTTGGTGGTGTGTGTGAGGATTCCAGGAAGATGGCTGATACAGGGGTCCTTAATGTAGGAGTAAGGGACTGACTGGGGAGGTCAGTGCTGAGAGTACAACTGGGGGTCAGGGCTTAGGTGAGGCCGGGTTACTAGGGGGTGAGGGCACTAGAGCCGAGGGGTCAGTGCTGAGAGCATGGCTGGGGGTCAGGGCTGAGGTGAG